GGGGGGGGGGGGGACTGTTCAGTGATTTGTAGACATACAGGAGTATTTTGAACTGGATTCAAAGTGTTTAGTGTTTTGAGTTAATTAGCTGATTAGAGTGTGGCACCAGGCATCTTCAATACTGAACCTTTTCATAATATTCTAATGTTCTGAGATACAGAATTTGGGGTTTTCATTAGCTGTCAGTTAATCAACATTAAAAGAAATAAACATTTGAAATATATCAGTCTGTGTGTAATGAATGAATATAATATACAAGTTTCACTTTTTGAATGGAATTACTGAAATCAACGTTTTCATGATATTCTAATTTGATGACCAGCACCTGTATTCTCACAACCATCAGGTGGACTATCCTACGCTGCATGTCCGTACAGAAACAGCCTACACAGATGATGAGTAGAGATTATGAAGGGGATCTGAGAGGCAGACAGAGAAGCGTGGACAGGCTCAGAGCTGCTACTGACCTTTTTTCTCTGGACCCGTCGGGACGGTGGGTTCGGGGATGGGGTCAAACACGCTGCAGTCCTTCCCCGTGTAGTCCCTGTCACAGATGCACTTCACCTCGTTACTGCACGTCTGCAACAATCAATAATATATAGTTGTAAGAAAGAAAAGCTACAACTCGATATTTAACAGGACAGCACTATTTGTCATTCTCAGTAAGCAATGATCACCAATGACTGTGATAAATCAAACTATTATATTTAAGTATCTTGGAATTCATGTTCTGATTGTCGTTAATAGATTTGATCAATCCAACAGACTCTCGGGGGGCCTTGACGCCCACTCCTGGTTTAGATGATAAAAAATACTGAGGAGAAAGTGAGAAACATGGTTTATCATAAGTGATTTCATCGTCACAACGTTAAATATGGTAAACCGCAAGGTTTTCTAGTACCGTGCAAACTTAACATCCGACTTACAACATGTGAAATTTAAGATGTATTTATTTTCCAATTTAGTCAAAAAGTATCCATGAAATAACTGTTTATATAAATATTAATTATGAATAACCCGTTTATTTAAGACAAGATAGACATTTTTCTGCTTAAAAAACAAACACTGAAGTGGTTGATTTCTAATGGAAATATAAAAAGTAGCTTTAAATACAAGACAAACAGTTTACAAAATTTTTTATTTGATCGTTCACGTAACAATAAGTGACACCTTCTAACTCTGCTCTTTTTATTTTTCTTTAATAATCATTCTCAAAGAAATTTATGTCTTCGAAGATATGAAAGAACGTTTTCAGTTTGAAGCCATAAAATGTGTTTTTCGATCATTTTCATTAGATAAAACCACCTGTGGTGTCAGGTAGAGTTACTCAAGGTGTTGATGAACTAAAGGATTTTTTTTTTTTTTTAAGTGCAGACTGGGCAGAAAATACAGAAGTAACCAAAACTACGAGGAGCATGTCAATAACCAGAGAGAGAACATACCAAAAGAAAGAAATTGGGGCTGATGAGGTAAGTGGGTGCAGCTGGTACTGATGAAAATGAGAGGCAGGTGAGAGACGGAGAAGATGAAGGGACAAGTACTGGTGAGAAACACAGAAATAAACTGAACACAAGGAAAACAGAAAGTAAACAAAACAAGAGGATGTTCTTATGTTTTCACATAAGAAAACCAACTACAAATAAACTATAAAAAATAATGCCTTACTAAAATAATAATAAAACTCCTAAATAACTTAAACGTCTTGATTGAGGTTACTTAAATTGATTTAGATAAGTTAAATCTTTCTTCACCTAAATTCAATCTTCTTTTATTCATTTTTAAAACCTCTGTTGTCCAAATGTAAACGCAGAGTTTTTACCCCGTGGTCAGAGCAAATATGTCCAAAGTTTGACCCCGGGCACGTGCTGAGGTTGAACGCTGCGACGGGGAGGCAGCGTCTTTCCAAACACATCATGTTGGGGCCGCAGGGAGTGCCGTCCTCCACGTAGCCCATGTCTGAACCGTCCTCCAGCAGAGCGTGACCACCTCTGAGCAAAGTATCCACAAGTATCAGACACACGTGAGGAAAAGGTGAATTGGAAGAATGATGAATGTGACCTACCTGCAGTCCAGGTACTTGTTCTGATGATAGAGGGTAAAGCTGGTCACCTCGCCCTGCAGGTCACCAAACTTTGGCTTCATTGTGACGTTGGCACAAAACAGGAAGCCGCATAATACATCCCTGAGGCAAGCAGAGGAACGGATAAAGGTTGATCTAATGAAGCTCAGAACACCTGTGCAGGGCTCTGGTGACACTCACGGCTTGTTGCACTGCAGCCAGCCTTTCCCTTCTGGAGCCCGACCACAGTTTCCTTTCTCTGTCCCTTCAGCGTTCAGCTTCTCATAACAAAACCTGTCTGCTGAGTCTAGAGGGATCAGATTTAAAGAAAAGCTGAATAAACCTAAAAAAAGATGCATATCAATTAGAATATGTTTGCTATGTGTTCTAAGCATACTGAAGCCCCAGAGTCCTTTGCACTGTCCGTCACGCGTCCTGCACCGTCCGCTGTAACAGCGTCCCTGCGGAGGCGGAAAAGTGCCGATCAAGCATTTCGCAGCCGAAGCTGCGGATAAGAAACCGAGGCTCAACCTTACCTGGCTGTTATCACACACGTAACCATCCAGCTTGTGGACATTATGAGGGCACTGCAAAAAGAAAGAAAGCATTTTGAAAACTCGTTTGAAAATGACGTGAACGTGTTGTCCAGGTGTGTCTTCCACCTGGCTGGAGTCTCCTGCGCAGGTTTCAGGGATATCACAGTCGTTGACGGCCTCTCGACACACAACACCTCGCTGTTCGTACTAGGAGAAACAATCCAACACCAAAATGAGTTATACGCCCATTTCTGACGTGTGGTTTAGGGTTAAGGAAATTATTTAATTTATTTAGCACAAATTCACACTAAAAACAGGCGAGAACAATTTGTTCTGGGAAGTAAGGGATCATAGATTGGGCCAGTTTGTGATTTGAAACTAAAACCACCAGGTGGTGGAATAGAGCTTCTTCTGAAAAAACCAACACAGACCAGTAAGCTTCCTGCACGATGGTTTTTAAAAATGGCACAATGTTTTCACCAGCACATATTTGTGCTTTGTGAGAAACTGAATGTTGAGTTGTAAACAAAGATCCCTGTGTTGTGCACATCCCAACACACAGATACAAATAAAAATGTTAATGTGAAAAAAAAAACAATACTGAAGGAGAAAACATTCACACTAACTCCAACTTTTCCCTTTGTACCTCATTTTGAGCAGATTAGTCTCATGTCTGACCGTTTGGATTACGGTTTAATTTACCTTACAGTCACTGCAGCAGAGTCCATTACTGCACATGGCATCATGGGTAAGGGTGCACTTTTTACAGCAGGTTCCTCCACTGCGGGCACACTCCTGCAGGAAAACAAGACGCCACTCATTTTGGGTCGATACCTTCACAAAGAGGCGGCGCTATCAAAGCTGGCTGCTTACCACCTGGGACCCACAGTCGCACTCTTCTCCTGGCTCCACAAAACCATTCCCACACTCTGGAGGGTCCAGCAGCTGAAAGCATGATCATAATGGAAGTGAATATAGATATTTGGGAAAACGTGTCAGCTGAGGAAATAAAAACTGAAACATTCAGTCTTAGAAAACGAAGAGATTGAGCCGCAGACAACACAAGGCCCTCACCTTATTGGGCTTGTTGAAGAGGCAGCTCCCACCCCCCTGGAGCAGGAACTGGATGTACTCGTCAACACTGCAGCGAGAAAACTTTCTGGGCAGATAGAAGCTGTGATCACACACACGCACACACACACACACACACACACACACACACACACACTGATAAAGATCAAGACATAAAATAAAATGGTACAACGCTTTTTGGCCAGTTAGGAAGGCCAGATCCATCGTGGGAGTCTCTGCAATCACTTTGCAATCTGACACAAACGTTACCATCTGCAGTAAGACACAACTCAAATAATTCAGATCTGGATTGTTCCATCTGCCAAGGGGAGCCCGATCCAAATCGCTCGCATAGTAAATATTTCTGGTTCGAAATGTGTCATTCCTTGCACAGCAGTCTGGTTTCTGCTGCCTGTAAGCTTTAAACGCAGGCTGCGATTATCAGCAGCTTGAGGTCTGGGTCGGTTGATGACGAAGCCGCGCGCTCATGCAGGTGTCTGATTGTTCTACTGAAGGAAAGGAAGTGAAGGAAAACTGCAGCGTAAAGCGATTTTACCCGGTGTCTTCCATGATGCAGCCCACCCAGGCGTCAGGGCACCTGCAGTCACCTGCAAAACACAATAAATATGGAAGAATGCATAAACCACAAATACATTTATAAACAGATCAAATAAATGCTGTGACACAAAATAAAAGCCTTTCTGTGGAAGTGCTAGTGGAGTATGGGTCTCACAGTATTGATCTTTGGTCCTGACACCCGACAGTCTTTAAAATCAGTCACTGAGCTCATTGTTCAGCATCGGCAGCAATTTAATTTTCATTCCTTCTATATTGTAGCAGACAGACTGAAATATAATAAATAAATACAGAACAGAGCTCCTCAACAGGCAAGTTTACTCTCCTCATCACTGCTACAATGAACCATAATCTGTGTTCACGGCTGTTTTTATCATCATAGATATTTAAACCAGTTACCCTAATTATTAATTATAATCGTTAGAAGTCTCTCATAATAAGGGATGTATTTTTAAATTTAATTAGGCTATTTTCTAATATAAAAGTACATTAAATTGTCTTTATACATTTGTTTCTGGAATATAAAACATCCCCACTGTTTAAGCTTAACAATATTTTAATTTGTATTATAACTATAAGCTTTACTTTTACTATAACTGCAAAATAAAGCAATGCATTTACAAAAATCCTTTTTTTTTACATGAATCTATAACAAATAGTTTAAATTGTTTAACTTCTACATACAAATGCTAAAATTATTATAATAGTCATCATTCCCCTTACAGAAAAAAACAATTTATCATGTGATCACAGGTTACATAAACACATTAAAAAAATTGTATTAACTATGTGCAAAACAGATTTTACATGAGTTTCATAACTTTGTGTTTTTAAACATTCAAATGAGATTTAGACAAGCAAAGTACATGATTTTATTCTATAAAATTACATTTTAATGTATGTTATTAACATGTGTGAAAGTATATTTTCTTTATTCACAAACAAAAATGCTAATTATTGGTATAAAAAACTGCCCTTTAGTATTTGTATTTGTATTTCCAACTGTTTCTGTTTTCTCTCTCCACCAGAGGCTTCTTCGGACGTCACCCTTTATCTGAACGTGAAAACCAGTTAGTTATTTGCACTCAGGTGCCTGCAGGTGAAGTTTTTCTGCTGACGACTCACCTGCGGAGGCTCGAGCGTTGTTCCACCTCATCCCGATGTTCTGACCAAGACTCTGACACAAAGTGATGGCCATGGCTCCAACACTTCCATACTGCAGGAAAAAAATATCACACAAACTAATCTGTAAAAAAACATTTACTGACAGATGTCAACGATGCAAGGTAAAGAAAAAAGTTTTTTTTTTTTCAGTAGAATGACAGACATGAAGAAATACATATAAATTGTGTCAATTATGTTTTAGGTAAAGGCACAGCTTTGCAAACACATCTACTAGTTGTTGCTTTAAGCTGCCACTAGAGGGCAGTGTCACAAAGGTTTAAGGTGGAAGTTGATCTTGATCATTTTTAAAAAAACATTGTTATTGTTAATGTTATAAAATATCTGCTTTTTGTGGTGGGGTAAAACAAATTTTAACACAATTAGGCCTTGTTTTGTTCATTTTTTAATGCCTCTTCTTACAAACAGCCAGCGACCACTTTTTCCCCACGTAGGTCTGAAGTCATCACTGAGGGCATTGTGCTAAGTTTTTGGAGAATCACTGCAGGTCAGTCTGTCCAGGTTAAATACCCATAATCCTTCTCTCTCTGTATACATATTCTGAGGTAAACATTAAAATTGTAGTTTATCTAAAATTATAAGAAAATAAAATGTTTTAAAGAGATCATATAACATCCTGAGTGTTGACTGTATGTTTCTTTCAGTGTGTTCTTCAGCATGTACCAAGAACAAAATCAAAATGATGTTTTGTTTTAAATCAGGTGTGATTTCATTTTTTCGGATGAAGCTCACCTCATTAATTCCTCCTCCTCTAGTTTGAGAACACACCCCTCCCGTGTAGGCTGTTCCACTGCGGCTACTGTGAAATGTGCGCCCTCTGGGGAACAAACAAACAAACAAACAAACAGCAATCCATCAATGGAAACCATATCTCCACTAGAATCCTTCTTTTTGAGGGCGAGGGTGTCTGCGATGCTCCTACGAGAAAAGATGGACAACGTCGCTCTGCTCCCTGATGCTGTCCTTCCTGTATTTCATGAAGTTCTGCAGCGTTGCCAGCGGGTCCTCCACGACCGGCATCATGTTTTCAGAGGTCCAGGTTTCCATAGCAACCAGCACGATCCTCATATTCAGCTGCTCCTTGAAGATCTGAGGAGCACAAGATGCCCATCAGCTTCTTCGTCGTGAATGTGGAGAGATGAACCTTTTCCCAACGAGAGCACGCAGCCCGACAGGTGGTGTGGTGGGGAAGTTGAAGCTTTGTTCTAACCAGTGGGAGGATTTACAGCTCTTACCGTATCTGCCGTGTTGACCACAGCTTTGGCAAAGTTCTTGGTTTGGCTGCTGGAGCGACGCAGCTGTACAAACTGCAGAGAGAGACGCACCCACAGACGGCTTAAGGAATGACGTCTCATTTACAAACGCACAGATCGTTAAGACACACGAGAAATAAAGATATTGCGTTTCATTTATTGAATTTCTGTACGTGCAGGCATGTTTTGATTTGCCATATTTCATCATGTTGGTCTGTGTTTAGGTTTATTTATTTTGGATGGTTTTAACGCTCCAATACATCAGATAAAAACAAGCCGTTGAGGTTTAGTTTCTGTTGCGGTCTTAACAGAACTTCTGCAAAATCACGTCTCATACTGGCAGTAAAAACTGATATAAAACGAGGCAGAGAAATGTGCAGCAAACAAGATCAGAGAAGCTCCAAAGTTGCTCTTTAACTCACCAAATCATTGTCATTGACCACCATCAGTTCAATATATTTGGTCTCAGTCTGGACGGAAGGTTTCCTGACAAACCTCTTGGATCTTCTCAGCAGCGCAGCAGCGTGCTGATCGCTCGTTTGGTTTGGTCTCATGTGGTCACCATCACTTCCACTGCTGTCCTGCTCACCGTCCTTTGCACAGTCTGGACACAAAGAAACTGAGCTGCAGGCGAAATCTCACAAACCACCCTATGTGACTTTATTTTAACATTATAGTCCTTTTAATTACTATGTTTTTGTCCAAATTTTTCCATTTATGTTCATGTAAAGTTTATGGACTTTGCATTTTTGTAATGTTATAAAATCAATACATCACTTCATATAAAAAAAACTAATATTTATCCTGACTAAATTAAAATTGAAGCTTTTAATAACAATGACTTGAATCCATTTAGGCATGACTGCATAGTGTTACTCAAAGCTATCTATAATCTGATGTTGCTGTTCAGATTTAAAAAAAAGACTTAAGAGGTTTCTAAGTGAATATAATGAAAGGTAACATTAAAAATAAAATACTAACTATTCTATGTTTTATAGCAGAACAGTACACACAAAATATGTCGTCTTATCGGGTTCATCTAGTCTCAAAACTGCTTTATTTGATAAACAACAAAGGACAGATTACGTTTTTTAAATTATTTTGAATAAATAAATCTTAGCCACACTTTTTATACCCTGATATTTAAAGCTTCATAACTGAAATGAGGGCTGTAAATGAGACCAAATACCTGGGCAGTACGGAGAAAGTCTAATATCAGGCATCCTGCGTATTAGGTGAGCACCATCATCCTAAAAATATATATACACAGTATATTTAACCATTTAGACTTGCAGATAAGTACAGCAGCTTTACCATACTTTGAAAAAGTGTCTCTATAATTGTATTTATGATATAGTAAAGCCACAACATGCACCAAGAGTTTGTCACAACACACAAAGTGGGATTTTCATCTGCCAAACCAAACCAGGCATCACGAAGTTATGAAAATGTGGCAGTACTTGCAGTACTCAGAATTTTAAAAACATCCTAAAAATGTGTGTAATGCGTTAGTACTTGGGAGTTTATGTGGTTCTCAGCTACTGCGACACCAAATGTTAGCTGAAAATCTGTAAAACTGACTAAGTTGCAGCCATTTTTGTGTTTGCTAGGGTCTATTGCTGTGGCAGCCATGTTGAATTGGATCAACTCCAAACGTTAAACATCTGTAGAGATTTCTGAGCGGCTCAGTAAAAATCCATCCAGCTGTTTATGAACCATTTTGTTCAGTGACAGAAAAACACACAAACAGTAATTACCTGCCTTTCATGGTAACGAGCAGCCATTTTTATTGGTCTGAAAGCACGGTTCTAACTATTTATATATTTTTAAAGCAGGTACTTTCTAAAATGCGGACCTGGTTGCTGTCATTGTGAACTGGCTCAATTCCATAAGAGAAGAAACCATCTGAGAACATCCCACTGCAAGGCAAGGGAAAGGCAAAGTTGATCAGAAACAAGGCAGAAAAAAATGAACGGTTTCTGTATGAAATGTTCCTGTGAGCTCACCACAGGCCGCGGCAGGTGGAGACAGCTGCCCAGGACTCGGGTAAACCTCTTAGCCTTCCTTGGTAGTAGCAGTGCTCCCCTCCCTGTGAGAACAATGAGCAAAAGTTTCATCGAGCTCTTCGTCTTCCTTCACCCTCCTACACCATCGCGGTGTTTGTGACCCCGCAGTGCCCCATGCTTCCTTCACCGCAGGGGTAGAGAAAACCACGGCTCAAGGACCTCCTCAGTAAATCAACACTTTTGTTGCCAGCACAACTCCTGGGCAGAAATCTGCTAACACTGCTGTACGAGGTCACAGCTACGAAGGAGAGGCGAGAAATTGTGGTTCAGTTGCATCGAAGTGAACTCGGCGAGGGGTTGGAGCCTCGCCCCGACTCGGCACTGAGATGCTGACGTGTTGTTCTGACCTGAAAGCAGCACGTCCAGCCACCGTGGCGTCATCACGTGAGGCCTACAACCAGCTGAGAGACAATCTGGTCTGACTGCAGGTCTCCACTCCCATCCTCATGCGCCGCGCCTCCCCTCCCTTCTCCTCCCCTCCCCTCCCACCCCTCTGATTCACACGCTGACGGCCTAGAAACACACATACACACCCAGAATGCCAAAGCTCATGCTGCTTTTGTTTAAACTGACATTTTACTCTTTATTTCTCCTCCTCGTCCTCCTGCGCGTCCCTCTCTCCTGGTCTTCTTTCATTCTCTTGGCTGCCAAGAACTTAATGATACAGCTGAGCTAACTGGTTGCTATGGAAACAGGCTCCTGATTGGTCAGAGGTTCTGAAGGAGAGTTTGGAGCGATGGTAGGTGGGGACACGTAGTGCTGGCTGGGTAGGTGGGTGGGTGCTCGAGGGGCAGTAAATGGTACATTTGTCTAAAAAAGAATTAAACAATTTTTTTAAATCCGAATGGCGAGCGGAGTACAAACACGCAACAGTAAAGTTTTGTTCTCCCTGTTCTCCGGTTGATCCTCTCTGTGGGTTTGCATTACTTCTTTTTGCCTCGACCACCTGAGAAAAGCCTCGGCTGACTGCCTGACGACCAGCTGACTACCAGCAGCATCGGCAAATCAGTTGCATAGCAGCCTACTTCTGAAGCTGAAAGCACACGATGCACGTTCTATGAATAGACGAGCCGTCAGGATGAGATCAAACTCTAAAAATACGAACAAGCCGTCTAAAAATTAACCTTCAAAGAAGACAAACAAAAAGCTTTTGTTTCAGATTCATCTTAAAACCACTCCATAAAGAGAAATGATACAACGCGGTCTGGAGAGGTTGAGGAATGTATCTGACGAACAAAACTTGTTCAAATTACTGAGTAAAGAACCAGCTATTTTACAAAGAACTGGTAAATATACAACACTGACCGTCTCATTAAAACACTAAGCTAGTGGTTCCCAAACGGAGAACCAGAGCGCCTAGATTGTTAAATTTTGGCAAAATAAAATATTTTTAAAAATGCGTACGATTTTATGTATTTACAATAATTTATGTTGGTGCAGCTTTCCTAGTATTTTTGGCAATGAATTGTACACGGAACAACTTTTCCCCACAATCGCAGTTCGTATTAATGTTAGGTGGCGCTGGTAGCTGTTCCTCTGCTGCCAAGCCACACACAGATCCAGGCCTGAAAATACAGCTGTAAGTTGGGATGCACGATATTAGATTTTTGGCCGATATCCGATATGACAATATGTTTAAACTTATTGGGCCGATAACCGATACAGATATTTTAAATATACTTTCTTTTGTCAGAACTTAGAATCTTATTTAGGCTTATTTGCTACAAAAATTGTGTAACAGCTGTAAGAGCTGGTGACATATATTCAGTAACAGCCGTATGATATACACAGCACTTTAACTTGTATTAAATGAAAAGTGTTAAATGTTATTTATTAGCATTAGTCACCTGTGATGCCGTTTCACCTGTGGAGGTTTGTTCCAGGTTCCTATAGCTGCAGTGTGGGGTCCTCTGCACTCATGTGCATGAAGGACAGACTTTTTACGTTCAAAGTTTTTGTCTGTCCATTGTTCCGTAAGACTGATCATGCTAACGGGCTAACACGACGTCTAAATGTCTGTGGTAAAACTCATCCAAGTGCTATCAGCTGTTAGCTTCTCAATGACGTCGGAAATGACGGCTTGTAACTCGGGTAAGGCTACGTCAGAAAAATATCTGACTGGGGACGATGTAGCGAGGCTCAACGTAGTCCAGAAATCTTCAGAATATGATATCCTCAACAACAACAAAAACTTGCACACCACCGACATTTTGACTTCTTCCTCTCCGCCACGATCAGATAGGTGCGTGTGACATCATCACGTTGTGCTGGCGCTGCAGACATCCTCGTCACTGGGTTGTCGTACAAAAACAGCACTTTTATATCGAGGAGTTATTTTGATGGAATGGCCGATGTCCGATATTTAACTTTAAAGCTAATATCGGCTGATACCGATACCATGCCGATAATATCGTGCATCCCTAATTGTAAGTGAAGAAAAGTAGCATTATTGTCCCTAAAAAAAATTAAATATGGAGCTTTGCTTCACAAAAAAATCTCTTGAAGTGGACCTCGCTGAATTTTAACAGAAGACTACTGCACTAAGCTCTTTTGTACGTACAAAATGATATTCCCTCTCCAACGGTTGGTCAACGCAGACGGTTTTCCAAACCCACACTGAAAATCTTACCATAGACTGTAAGGGTCTGCCGTTATGGTTAAAGTGTCGCTCCGCGTATCCTGACGACAGCAGGTGGCTGCAAAAAAAAAAGAAGAAGCAGGAACCGACGTCAGTAACTGCAGCAGCATCATTCAAATAAGTGAAAATTTTATCTAGGATATCTTCCAAAGATTTCCCCTCTATTCCACAGAGATCTACAAAAACTATTAGCATATGGTATTAATAAACCGTGTGTGTGTGTGTGTGTGTGTGTGTGTGCCACATTGGTATTCCCCATCTTGTCATGTAGCATAATAGAGGCGCTAAGTGCATTTGCGTAAGAGCGGGTGAAATGCTAATGAGAACAGCTGCAGTAAATTAGGAGCACTCCCTGATTACAAGCATGTACGGAAAAACAGATCTGGTGATACTAACTGGTTTAGTTCCAGGTCAAGAGTGAAGGTGCGTCCAAAGGCTTCTACCTGAAAACAGCTCTGGGCCAAGTGAACAGGCTAAAGGAAAAGAGAGGGACGAAATAAAAACAGTTAGATCTGACAGATGTAAATAAAAGTGAAGCCATTTAGGTTGAGTGTGTCACTCGATTAAAGCCATTATGATTTTTGATGAAGTCTCATGAATAATTCAGTAGAATCAATGCCCTTTGAAAGCATCTCAGTTGCCAAAATGTTCTTGTGATTGATAGAGCCCTTATCGATTTGCGTTGGCTGCCAGCATTCAGGCAGATATGGCGTACGGAGTTATGGCTGTTTGATATCTGCCAGAGCTTTGTGATAAGAATGACAGACGGGATTTGACAGAACCATGAGAGGACAGGGACCGTCTATATTTAGCTGAGCTGTGCCGATGTCCCTTATGGACAGGTGCCAGCTGAGGAGGTGAGTAGACAGAAGGGACAGAGAGAGACCTACTACAGACGAAACAGTATGTCTCCTCGGCAGCCATGACTGTGCCAACGTGGCTTGGATTTGAGTCTGGAGGAACCAGGCCGCAGTGAATCACTGGGCTTTTACGATAAAATGCATCACTATTCAGAAATTATCCCCTTCAGTGAACACAAACAACAGATTTCTTATGACTGCTGAGGCCTCTCCATACTCGACAAGAAGTGAAGGCGCCTCCTCTCGCTGATGTAGCTCTGAGACATTCTTTTGGGCATGGCCGTTTTGTACTCCACGAGAAAATCCAGCGCAGAACTTATTTTTATTATACAGACCGAAACAGTCAGTGTTGTTTCGTATTTGCAAATTGGTCACAAAGAGACCGCCACCCTTTTCGAACAAGTCAGCAATAACGAGCAAGCGTGGGGTACGGGTCTCTAGGCCTGTCACGATAACAAATTGTGCTGGGCGATTAATTATCTCAGAAATTATTGCGATAAACGATAATATTGTTTGAAATTTGACAATAATTAGTAAATATTGTCAAATTTAAGAAGAAATGTTAGTTAATTTTTGTGTGTAGTACCTTTTTTTGACCACTGGATGTCAGTATAAGACTGTTTGAACTGAAGGATGGATAGTGAGGGAGCGAGCAGCGTGTCTCTTTAAGAACAATGGGAGGGAGGCCACCTGACATGACATGGGCCGTCTCTCGTTCCCTTTTTTCGGTTCTCAAAATGGTGGATGCTCAGTGTAGTTTGAGCTCTTCAGCATGTCATTTGTCACACAAAGCTTTTAATAAAAAAATTTTTAAAAATCAGTAAACAAGTTCTCAGCTTCTTTTTGCAGAGAAAAACAACTTTTTAGACGAAGGCACGGGTTTCAACCGTGAATTTTGGAGCTTTGACAAAACGGAGGGTTTTTCCCGTGGTCGGCCTGTTAGCATAGCTCGTAGCTTACTGTCTTAGCTTAGCTGCTTTAAACTATCCAAAAACGTGATTTTGAACGGTTAAAACTGATTTTAAAGAGAAAGGGAGGGGTCAGTGAAGAACACCGGAGTTGAACCTTTTGTCCTCCAGTGTCTTCAGTAGAAAGAGAGACACAAAGAGACAATGAAGCCGATCAATGAAAATGAGGTAGAGAATTTTCATTTATCATGCGATTAATTGATTTATTGTTTATCGCGACAGGCCTACGCGTCTACGCTGCCCAGTCGAGGCGTACCGCCCCCACGGCCAGCACAGCCACAGATGTCCACCTGTCTCTTAGCACCGTCTCCTTCATGAACAAATATGGTTCAATTTCCTTCTGCGAGTTATTTGACTTTCTTTATAGGTTGCTTTAGAAAATACTGCCATGTTTACAACTGTTCCAACAGCCTCGGCCAGCTGATCCTCAGCAGTGCAGTCGAAGCGAAATGAGAGCAGTTCTCCCACTTTTCAGCGTAAGCACGCCCGCAACAAAGTTATGACTATTCGCACAACACTTAACGCATACCGCTGCGAGAAAACGTTCTGCCTGAACCTTGTGCACAGAACGGGTGCAAGAACAAAATGGCATGAATTTTGTCAGTGAAAGCAGAATTTTTTCCACTTCTCCCAAAGATAATCAAGATACAGAGAGGCTGAAAGAATGCGAGTCTTCTACCAACGTCACAATTTTCTCCCACGGTTTTATTCTGGTTTAATTTGTGGCAACTGAAAAACAATTTGATCACCTGGTTAATTTGGTGGTTATTAATTGTAGCTGATAAAACTTTATGTTTAAGGGATTGGGATTGTTTTCAGATCTGTTAATGCGCTGATTGTGTTTCAACGAGCTTACATGTTTTCTAGTTTCCCTCACTTGTGTCTTTTGCTCCTTACAGTCTTACAAATTAAAATATACTGTAAATACAATTAAATAAATACATAAATCACACCAGAAGTTGACTTTCTGTCTGCCAGTTCCAACTCCCACGTTTTACATCATTCTCCAGGCAGCTTACCAAGTAAATGTCAAATCTTTCTTCGATCATTCGTCATGAAATTAAACAGAACACAAAGTACTTTTAAATCATTTTTAGTTGATATAGTTTAGTTAGCTGAAGATTACAATTAACTATTAGTTTATTTTTAGTTCAGATATAACTAAATTGAGAATGGGAATTATTTATCAACAGTAAACAAACCAGTTTCCCCACAGACTGAACCAGCAAAGATGAAAAGTAATTCCAAATTTTTGGTACTTTTTAATGTATTTATAATTTACATGTCTATGTTCCTTTTCTGTCTTGTCGTTCCTCCAAACAGCTGGGGGTAGAGGACTCCTTTGGTTCTGCTGTTAAGAGTCTCTCACTGGGCTGCGGCTACTGGAGACAAGTTGGTGGAAAGAAATGTAACTTTTCAGTTTCGGTCTCGGCAGTCTGAACGTTTGCATCCAAACAACCAGCGTGTCGTGTTCGGAGTGGCCACTTTTTGAGAACTGAAGCCAGAGTTTTTGTGCACAAATTGAAAACCTGTAGCCTGTGGATAATATTTTATTGTTCATTTCCCACAACCGTAGCCTTCCATATGCATTTTATCAGCTGCCTCTATGTTCATGACTCAACCTACTAGAGTTCACCTTTGGAACGAAGACGAGCATATTCAGACCAGTTTGTTATTACGTATTATTTTTAACAGCGTGGTTAAACCTCAACATTTGAGGCTGCAGCTGTTCAAAGTCTTCGCGGCTCATATGAGGGAACTGAGAACATTAACTACTATTTACAGACACTTTGAAGACCCTCACAAATACAGTCCTCCAAAAACTTTCCACAGTTGCAACCCAGTGAGATTTCTTTCCCTCCACCGTCGTCCACTGCCCAAAGCAAGCTCTAGAAGGGGAACACTACTAAATCCAATAAAAGAATTGGATCATACCTAGGCCTGTCACGATAACAAATTTTGCTGGGTGATTAATTGTCTCAGAATTTATTGTGATAAACGATAATCCATCCATCCATCCATCCATTATCTTTACCCGCTTATTCCATTTTGGGTCACGGGGGTCGCCGGTGCCCATGTCCAGCAATCACTGTGCGAGGGGCGGGGTACACCCTGGATGGGTCTCCAGTCCATCACAGGGACACATAGAGACAAACGAGACAAACAACCATTCACTCTCTCACTCTCACCTAGGGACAATTTAGAGTTACCAATCAGCCTAACATGCATGTTTTTGGTCTGTGGGAGGAAACCGGAGTACCCGGAGAAAACCCACGCATGCACGGAGAGAACATGCAAACTCCACCCAGAAAGGCTCCTGGACTGGGGTTTGAACCAGGGACCTGCTCGCTGAGAGGCAGCAGCTCTACCAGTTGCGCCACCGTGCTGCCCATATAAACGATAATATTGTTTGAAATTTGACAATAAGTAATTAGTGATTATTGTCAAAGTTAAGAAGAAATGTTGGTTAATTGGTTTTGGGTGCAGTACCTTGTTTGACCACCGGATGGCAGTATAAGAATGTTTGAACTGAAGGATGGATGGCGAGGGAGCGAGCAGCGTATCACTTTAAGAAAAATGGGAGGGAGGACCCTTGACGTGACATGGGCTGTCTCCCTTTCATTTTTTTTTTCTGTTCTCAAAATGGCGGACGCTCAGTGTGGTTTGAGCTCTTTAGCATTTTTCACACAAAGCTTTTAATAAAAAAAAAAATCAGTAAACAAGTTCTCAGCTTCTTTTTGCAGAGAAAAACAACTTTTTAGACAAAGGCACAAGTTTCAACCGTGAATTTTGGAGCTTTGACAAGATGGAGGTTTCCCACCCCCCCCCCGAGGTCGGCCAGTTAGCTTAGCTCGTAGCTTAGCTTCTCAGATTAGCTGCTTTTAACGATCCAAAAACATGATTTTGGACATTAAAACATATTTTAAAAAGAAAAGAGAAAGGGAGGGGTCAGTGAAGAACCGGAGTTGAGTCCTTTATCATCCAGTGTCTTCAGTAGAAAGAGAGACACGAAGAAACGATAAAGCTGATAAATGAAAATGAGGTGATAATTTTCATTTGTCATGCAATTAATTGATTTATTATTTATCATGACAGGCCTAATCAAAGCTAGATTGAATTAGAATCAATTAAAATGGACTGGGTGGCTTTACTTCCAAATTAGACCTGCCTGTTTTTCTGTATGTTGCCCTGAAGTGACTTTTACTGTGAAATATGTTTTTACAAAACAAACTGACATTGACTTCAAAGTTGCAAAGAAAAAGAAAGAACAGCAGGACGAGCACAAGCTCTTCTAAAAATCTAGTGTATTTTGTGGGAATCCATCCAACGTTCTGTCATCTGTGTCAGATTTACTGCATTTCCTTGAGAAATATTTGAGAAATTCATGAAATTTCAACATTCTTATGATAATAATATATATTGGAAATGTCATGCTGTTGACAATCCAAAGGAAAAAACTTGTATTAAGTTTCTGAAAGTGCCATCAGATCAATTTCCATAGAGCTGAAGTGTCGCGTAGAGCTCTATGGAAATTGAATCTTTAAAAACAGCTTTTTCCTCCTCCATGACAAGACACAAAGTGGAAACATGTTTTTCATGTAGGGTTCAAACGTTTAGTTGCCCCTTTGAAAAATTTTCACCTTGCTTAACAATGAGCAAAACTTAGTTTATAAAAATATATTTTACAGGAATCACAGGAACAAAATTCCACAATGCTTAGCTAAAAACTCAGTGTCGCCCATCTCTAACAAAACCAGATGTAACACGAGAGAAAACAGGTTCAGATCATCTGACCTGCAGCTTCTAAAATTATCCTCCTTTCAAACATCCTGAGTATTAAAAAAACAGCACGTTTTGACAAGTGAGGAAGCTGAAGCTGTAAAACCAGTGTAGTAATCACAGCCTCTTCTATGCATTCCACGCTTTTATTTATAAATTAAAGCCACCGTGTGACGATGACGTGTCTTGTGCTTCCTCCTAACATTAACTACATCAGGTGGGGAGAAGACAAGTCGAAAGAAAAGGAACGCTGCTCAAACCTCTTTGCAGCACTTTTCACACCGTTTCATATTTAATGGGGACGCACTTGAACGCACCGCTAAATAATGAAGAAGGCGAGGGGCTCAGAATGGATGACCGAACGTCAGAATATTTCAGGACGGGTCGCGAGAACACGATGGCAGAAATGTACGCAAACGGGTTAAACTGTGGGGGAACAACCTATACAACGAGTCAGGGAGGGGTGGGGTTCAGAACTAGTTCATAACAACTAGTCTTAGTAACATTTGGCTGAGAAGTTCACAAATGCACACTTAAAATCATACTAGTTTACAAATAAGGCCAGCAAAGCTTTAACTAGTCAACTAGTGGACAATTTGGGTGTTAATAGTTAACAAGTAAGTAGTTGCACAAGTTGACTCATGCAACTTTTATTAGTCTTACCTAGTCAACATTTTAGGCACACTACTCAACTAGCTGACATTTTTAAGACACTAATTGTAAGACTTAAACAAAATTAACTAACTTGTGAGCATTTTAGGCAGTACTAGTTATCTAGTAAAATCAAAATTAGCCAGACTAGTCCACTAGTGCATGCATATTTGGATTATCTATCGAACCAGGCAACATTTTAGGTGCACTACTCGACTAGTTAACATTTTGTAGGTGCTCTATTTCACTAGTAGGCCTCAGCTGCTCAACTATTGAGCATTTTGGGCCTACTAGTAAACTAGTTACCATTTTAGGTGCACTAGTTGACCAAATTTGGCCTTCTAGCAAACATAATTAACATTGCGTGTACTATGTAATTAGCAAAGCTAAAATAGGGCGCAGCTAGTGAGCATTTTGGGCGTACTTGTACGACAGTCATCTAGTTTAGTCCAGTGATCCACTAACACATTAAAAAGCCAATTAGTTGAAACTTTTGAGCCAACTATCCTGATGCATGCTCAACTTTTGAGCTAACTGTGTGTCAGAATAGCTGACTAGTATAAATGCTGTTTCAACTAGATGGGCAAAAGTGGCACTAATTGACATAAAAGTGTTACCGAAAGTGTTTGTTGAACTAGTTCACTAATATGTTGAAGCACTGTGACCAAGTGTACAACTAGTGCACCACTGGACAAAAATGACAATTGATAAAAACAAAAAAAAGTTGAATAAATACACAATTGGCTTGCCATAAAAGATGTTCTAAGGAATTTTCAGACTTAAGTGGGCCAAACTCAGAGTTTGGAGCTGCTGCAAACTCCCTGTTTCTTTAATCAGGTACAGAACTGAGCAGTGCAGGACAAAAAATAAAAAAGAGGAGAACAGCCTGTCTCAAATCCTGGACACACAGGAGTGGCTACATTACACACTGCATGCTGCAGCAGAATTATAAAAAATGTTTTCATCTAATTTTGGAAAGAAAATACAGTAAATGCATTATGTTAGCTAATCTCCATCCGAAGCTGCTTTATTTTTAACGAGCTCTCATTTAAAGGAAAGACTCCTTGTCTTCGGGTATCCCTAGATGCCAAATTAAGCCTGCAAGGGCTGAGAATGCACAGAGCAAACAAAACGGGGGCCATGAAGAGTACTGTGATTATCTGAAAAGGCAACGGGGAAGTTAGTCTGAGTCTCAACTCACCAAGCTGTCCCCACTGCTGTTCCTCGCCCGGGTATTTAGGAAGTCGTGAGCCATTTCCTCCTCTGACTGGATTTGCTGCACCAGCCGTTTTGGAAACGTAATCTCAGTTGCAGTTTCCCAACCATCCTGCCGGCCCGAGGGGGCAAACCAGTCCCACATGCCTCCATTTGCACCTGAAACATAACAGAACAGGACAACTCAGTCTGCACAGGAGGAAGCAGAGGCAGACAAGAAAAAGGAAAAACAGCAACTTCTTTATTAGGATTACATTGTCTAAAATTATTTGGTGACCCAATTAATCTTCCTGATCACCAATCTAAAATGGATATACCGTAATTAGTGTGCACTGATGGATACTAATAATTGCGGTTATGTCACAACTCTATAGGTGCTCATATTTAGAACATAAAGGGTTCATATTTAAACCTCTAACCATGGATACATGGCAGATAATTTCCCTGGTGATTGACAGGCATTGTGCTTTTAACCTATTTAGCAGATCTGTGGAGATCTGTTGAGGCAGCAAATCAGAAGCTGCTGGGCACCAAGATCCTTCAACAGTAAAACCAGATCCATCAGGGTGTTAGAAAAGTGCTGCTCCAGATGGGGGGGTGGGGTGGGGGGGACGAACAGGGTGCTCCCCTCTACCCCCACCCCACCTCTCTCGCTTACCTGAGACTGCAAGCCTCTCACCCACTGCAGCAAAGACCATGAAGCACCACACCGCCAGCATGATCCTCACATATTCCCTCGGATTACAGCATGGAGAAGCGCAGGAACCCGACAGGTGGAGAGGAGGTAAAAGATCAAAAAACGCACAGCAGAGATGACGGCGAGGATCCAAAGTTAATCTGCTACACATCTGATGATGCGCGTCCTCTCATCTCTCCCTCCTCTCTACCCCTCGCCCTCTCAGCTCTGAGCGCCGCGGCGGATTTGGACTTGCACATCAGGGCGACGAAAGGCGAATCGATCCGGGCCTAGAGACTGATCGGAGGGGAGCGGGAGAGCGCGCATCGCGGACGCATCGCTCCGCAAAGGCTGCGCGGGTCCGTGTTTTTCTCTGGGTGCTTGGATGAAGTTGTGCGTGGCTGTGTGCGCGCGCGGTATGCGGAAACGGAGGGTTGGCGAAGCGGGCTGCGGCGAGGGGGACACGTGGGGCCGTGGTACCCTCCCTTCTCCCGAGCAGCCTCCTCCTCCCGTTGCCATGCAGCTCTGCGCAAGGAGAGGATGCGACACGAGCGCGCAGCCCGACAAACGCTTTGAACGGGGATTAGGGTTCAGCCAGAGTTTTGATTATTTATTCTATAAATATAAAATTTAGGCTGATTGACAAATCTGTCATTACATGTGTGATTATTACAGGTCTGCAGAGAGTAAAAGTGACAAAAGAAAACCCCACCCTGACTCTGATTTTATATATA